TCAGTCAGTATCATCGGATGATGATTGAAATTATGAACTCATTCCTTTGTCGTTTGCGGCCATTATTTTTTTGCACATCGGGTGTCCTACTTGAGCAGGTTTTCTTCTGCTTGTATGCCGCCGAAGTTCACATCTCGGAGAAGCGTACGGATCTAAATCATGAATGCTTACAGTCGTTACAGTGTTACTGCAGCCCGGAACCTATGTTCTAGGCTTATCACGCCTAATCAGGGTCACCCTGCAATTACCGACTGTATCGTTCATGAGGGTGCTCCAGTCACTTTGGCGAAGGTTGCATTCTGCACAAAATCATGCCGCTGGTAGTCGAGGAGGCTAATTGCAAAGGCTTTGTCGATTCTTGGTTGATGGCACGAAGCAAAGCACATTTGTACTTTATTGCGAACATTTTGTTGCGGGCGCTGCAGCAGACAACAGATAACAGACGATAATGCGCCTTCTGTGTATAATGTACTTTGATTTAAAGTGAATGGGAGATTTTGATTCGCATATTTATAACTATAAATTTTAGAATTTAAACCATTCGTGCGTCATTTCAAACTTTCTTATCAGGCTTTTACGTATCACAGCGGAACAGTATTCTTTGCACATACGCTATTTCGTCACCAAAATATTTAGAGACTTTCAAAATGACCAGGTGCTGCCTACAAACATGTTCGCCTAACTGCAGGAATATACCTTGGAAAGAGTGTGTTGCGCAATGACAAACATAGTGGACCTGCCTGAGACACACTATATATAAGTGTTCTTTAATAAAGATGTTCAAATTCTTGTAGGTTTTTGCAGTGTATATGTTAAGGCAAACACTGTTCTCGACACTTGTAGACCACATTCAACGACTGTTCCGATTTTCTCAGCACATAACTAGTTCTTTGCGGTCTTGTGGTAGACCCTAAACTCAGTCTCGTTCAGACATCATATGATTGGATCAGATGCAATGGAGTATGTATGGCTAAATTTCTATGAGTCTGTTCTGACACCGCTTTATCACGCTGCAGCTGGATGCAAGAGAGTGATCACTGTCTTGAGCCCTCCTTGAATGTCTGCTCTTCCTGAATGCGTAGTGAAGAGTAGAATTTCAATGTTTAAGATGGAAGCGAGAATACATATTTTCTGCGCACGTAAATGCATATATAAGGAAACATAAAAT